TCAAGCTAATCTTTGAAACTTTCTGTTCAGCTCTTGGACCATAATAGAGTTTCCAAGGAGCAACTGGAGGATTTGAACTGCCAACTCTGTGGTAAGCAGTCAGTGTTCACCCTACAGTCTCACTCCAAATGAAAACTCTATGAAGAAATTGAAGCACAGATACTGTATTAGAATTACATGAGTATAGACCTTGGGGATAAAAGTAAAACTCTTAACACTCAACCATGTTGTATTACCGTATGCAAGGAAACTTCAGAGGTAGAGTCCCATTCTCTTCTATAGGACAAGATCCTCATTTTCATCATAAATCCAAGAAGTCCTTGAACTCCCTGGTATTGATGAAGAGGCCAAGTAAGGATGACCAGAACCTGAGCAGTTAGCAGATAAGTTCAGGACTTACATAGGCCCGAACTTTCCACTGGGGTAGACTTACATGTACCTAGACAGTTCAGCAGCATTCCACCAATCTGTGCACTAAGGAGGAACACAGTCATCCTCCAACAGTAGAGATAGCTTGCTTTAGAAGGATACAGATTGTGAAACTCAGGATTGAGTGTCCACTAGGGATTGGCAAATTCTGGATGCTGCAAGTCAGAGAGAGACCACGGGGCTACGTGGCCATCCTGGCCTCTTGGACAACAGCCCTGAACCGACTGCTTTAGCTTAGCAGCCAGGGAGGGAAGGATGCATTACATCATGTCATAACTCAGGCAGATGCTGAACAGGAAATGTAAACACAGCTTTAGGGAGACCATGTCCTGATGAATTTATTCAAGTAGTTTCAGCAATAGAATTGGCATCTGTGAGAGCGTTCTCACAAACGGTATGTGTGAGGTGCTAGCCACAGCACTAGGCTTGCTGGTGCTATTTAGGAGTCTCGAGCAACCCAACTATGGGTTTTCTCTCCTAAAGTTGGAATTGGTTAAACTTTAAGATTGCAACCCCACAAGGAAAGCAGTGTGAAGTCTCGATCTGGAACTGATGATGCTCCCTAATTGCCTTGCAGGAAGATGAGAGCACTTCCGTAACAGTGGGAACTTTCTTGCCAACTGGTGGGACTGCAGGAGGACTCTAAAGAATATTGGTAAACAAACTTTAGCTTTCTTTTTCAGCACTTAGGGGGAGAGGAGAAAGCAAATGGTAATCTTATAATTATCACATATTTAAACTTGTGAAATCTCTGCTCAATCAGATGCAATTTGAACACACATAAAAATCATGTGTAAGAATAACTGCCCGCAATTAAAATCTAATCTTTTTAGTATTGTCAGTTATAGGTCAAGCATACGTTTAATGCTATATCTGAACTAAGCATTATTTCATTCAGTCATCCTAATAACCATCTCTTGAGTCCATTTTACAAACATGGGAATTAGGCCAGCCTAAATGTTAAATCATTGTCAATACTCCCACCCCCAAAAATCTGACTTGTCCATTCAAGGCACAATAGTTCAATCTCAGCCTGTTTAAATAAAAAGTGAGTACCCATTTAAAACTAAAGAAACAATAGAAAAGATTTCTTTTGTCAAAAGGATAAAGTAGCAAGATTAAAAATCCATAAATCTTAAAGTAAATCTTTATAATAAGAGCGTCAAAAGACTGGTCAGATTCCATGTTTATTTATAATAAATACCAAAAAAATGTGCTGTCCCAAAGTCCAAAGAACTGTGTTCTAAAATCAGCAAAAATGCTCAAATAGGGCATGCACCGTTGGCAAATGGAACCACACTATTTTACCTGTTCATGAACAGATTTTGAATCAACAACAAAGCCAAGTTGAACCTTATATATTTTTTAAAATGATGCCAAGTTAATTTAACCAAATGTAATTCCACTTCTATGATTTCAAAATTATGCCCTAAAAGTAAACAAGAGACAATTCCTCTCAAATGCCTACATAGATATACTGAGTTCATTATAGCACAAAATGTCCTATACTAAAGTGTTTAAATTGAGCAATATGGAAAGAAAGTATTTCCATGCCATTCATATTATAATTTACTAATCTTGAGGGTTCAACAGCCATTTGAAACGCAAGGTCGGGTTCAAGCTTTCCAGCTGCTCTGCAGAAACACAATACAGGGTTGCTATGGGTCAGAATCAACTCAACGGCACTTAATAACAACAGCAACAATCTTGAGGGCAATTCTTTAAATTCTATCATTTCCTTCTTTAAATGAGTGCTTAAATATTTGCTGATAACAAACAATTTTAATAAGTGCTTAAATATTAGTTGATGACATACAATTTTAGTAAGACTTTAACAACTTCACGGGCAAACAGCAAGCCAGTTTCTCACCACTGTCTACAAGGGTCTCTAAGAGAGAACCAGGAGACCACAGCCCATTATCTACGGCATCCAACAGCAGTGAGAAAACAGGAATGTAAACGGCCTACAGGACACCTATCTGTATGGGCTGACTGACAGACCACGCTTTTGGAACTCCCAAATGAAAGCTTGGACTATGAACCAGTGTCTCCCTGCACAGTGTCTACAAATTTTGATCAGGGCAAAACAGTTTACACATAGGCTACGGCACTCACCTGGAGGTTGCTTGTCACATGTCCTGGATGGGAGTAAACTAGAACATCTAACTAACTGGATTCTTTACCAACGTGCTTTTCTTTTTTCCTTTGCTTATAAGATCATAAATGTCTTAGCTACATGTAAATGAAATAGCATGGCTGGATTGGCATTTTACCTGCTTAAGGAATCGGTCAGAAGCTTGGCTGTGCTTGGCTAACACACTTGGCAGGGCAGGGTTAGCATATTCAAACTGAGGATTGTAGGTATAGTCAGACTTGAAGAATCTGAGTTTTTCTTTCTCCAAGTTGGTGGGCTTTATAGCAGTCAATATACAAAATTTCTTTCCAGAAAAGTCATCTTTTTCAAAACTTCTCGACAGCTGAGGCTGCTGCTTTGGCTTTGGTAGAGTGGAGAAATGGCACTGCTTGACCTTGTTTCTGGGCTTGGGTGGCAGCACTATGTTGTTCCCTGTAACAGAGATATCATAGGTAAACTTTACAGGACTCGACACTGCACTTGTGACATCAGCAGGCTGCCTCTCTAGGCAGTACCAGCCACCGCTGCTCATCACAGCCACTGGGACTTTCATCTTGTGACGATCTTTACTATGAGAAGAGCTAGGAGATTTGATGGGCTTTCTAGACCGTTTGTAGAAAGCAGAGGAAGACTGTTTCTGTGAGTGATGCTTTTTCTCCTCTTTACTCTGTAGTAGGACATTGTAGCTACTGGTTCCAGTTGTAAAAATGTCCTTTAGTACTCCAGAGGGCAAATGGGAGACGCTTCTTTTGCTGTCAATGACCAATGAGTCTTCTGCATTTAGAACAGACGTCTTAGCAAGTTCTTGCTCGGGCCAGTGAAGCTTTTCTGTGTTAATAAACAAAATCAAAAGAAAAGACATAACAGGGATAGCAAACTCCTTATTAGCTGAAGAGCATTCTGAAGGTTCTGTGAACTTTATAATTTTTCAGCAAGCTTTAGAAAAGCCATTTAAGTATTATAAGGGCATATTACTAACCATGTTAGTGATGCTGTCATACTAAACAAAGTCAATTCTCTTCTCTATGAGTGGACACATGTTACATTAGCTATAAATCTCAGCTTCAAGCCTTCAAAGAAGATCACAGTCTAATACAGATACAAAACAATACATGAACACATTCATATATACAAATAATGAGTATTCAACTCTACCAAAGGTGAATTTCAGAAAAAAAAAAAAATGTATGAGGGTACGTCAAAAAATATTGCTATAAATTCAGAAAAAAATGTTATCAAACAGAAACACCAAAATGTGAGGCTACTGTTTCTCTACATCTTTTCCCTCTAGGTGTACACACTTCTGAAGGCAGGGTTTCCGTCTTTCCAGCCCTCCTGCAAGTAACTTTGCACTCTTCAATTTATACTACATTAAAAGAACAATTTTGAAGGCATAGGTCTCAAATTGGATTCCTTTTAAGTGTTTTTTTGAGTCTGAAGGGGCAATATCATGCTGTAGGGTGGATGGTGTAAGGATTCCCAATGCAGTCCTTTTGGGCAACCCTTGTGACTCTTTTGTTTTGAGTGAGGTTTTCTTTATCCGATTTTGCAAAACAGACGCTGGCAGATGCCAGCACTTGATACTTTTGAGGAATGAGCAGGTACACTGTTGTGATGGAAAAACATTCCTCAGTGAAACTTTCCTGGCCTTTGTCTCACCTATGCTGTCATTTTTAAACTTCTATACTTCCTCAGAAAGCCTTATGATCGTCCTGTGCCCTTCGAGAAAATCTACCCATTTGGAATCCCCCCAAACAGTTGCCACAATCTTGTGAGCAGTGTCTCTGCCTCGAACTTAACTGACCCAGAATCCATTAGAAGCCACTGTTTTGACTGGACCGTTTTTTGAAGGCCCTCGAATAAGAATAAGACAAGTGTATTGCAGAGAGAACTTGTCTGCAGCCACCCACTGATTGCAGAAACATGCTTAAACATGTTTGGTTCAGAATAAATCACTATTGGATAGGCACTGGACTGCAAGGTCTGTGGTTCAAATCTACCAGCTGCTCCTTGGAAATTCTGTACAGGGTTGCTATGAGTCAGAGTGACTTGATGGCACATAACAACAACAGCAAGATTTCTGAACTGGAATCCTAGAAATAATACTTAGTGATTCATTTTTTTGATAGATTAAATTATTTTAATTTTTAAAACCATAAATGTAGTTGTACATGTTTTTCACCCTATTCCCGTTGTTCCCTTTAAATAAAGTCCCAAAGAATTACTTCACCTATATCTTAAAAGTTGGAAAAATTATTTGACAATTTAATAAAAACTAAGGAGCTCTGGTAGCGTAGTGGATACGAGTCAGGCTGCGAACCTTAAGGTCAGTGGTTCGAAACTACCAGCCGCTCCGTGGGAGAAAGATGAGGCTTTCTACTCTCGTAAGGATTTACAGCCTCGGAAACCCTGTACAGGGTCGCTATGGGTCGGAACTGACTCGAAGGCACTTAACAACAACAACATACCTAGTTTAAAATTTAAAGACCCCTGTTGAAGCAACAGAAACACTGTAGGTGCAAGGGTTAAAGTACTTGGCTGCTAACCAAAGGGTCTTTGGTTCAACTCACAGGCCATCCTGAGGGAGATGCTATAGTCTGTTTCCATAAGGATTTCAGCCTTAGAAACACCAAGCAGCAGCTCCACACTGTTGTAATCAACTACAGTGGGTTTGGGTTTGGGTTTGGTTGGTTGATGCGGTGATTACATGCAACCAAAAGGTCCACAGTTGAAATTCACCAGTAGATTGGTCCTGCACCAATTTCACACTCTCTGTTATGGATGAGCCCACCGTCCCTGACACTGTGCCAATCCATCTCATTGGGGGTCTCCCTCTTTTTCTCTGACCCTCCACTTTACCAAGCATGATATCCTTCTTCAGGGACTGTCTCTGCTGATAATATGTTTGACTTACTCTTATAGTGTTGTTAATACCAAAGTGAAACTCTAAAGCACTTTCAAAGTCACAATCATCTTGAAATTTGGCACTGCATATAAATGTTGTTGTTGTTGTTGTTAAGTGCTGTCGAGTCAGTTCCGAACCATAGCGACCCTGTACAGGGTTTCTGAGGGTGTAAATCTTTACGGGAGTAGAAAGCCTCATCTTTCTCCTGCGGAGTGGCTGGTAGTTTCGAACCGCTGGCCTTAAGGTTCGCAGCCCGATTCGTAACCACTACGCTACCAGAGCTCCCATAAAAAGGGGAATGCCTTATTGATCTCAAATTATCTTTAATATCAAATAGGTGGTATGTGTTTGTTATTGTTAAGTGTCATCAAGTGGGTTTCTGAGGCTGCATCTCTTTATGGGAACAGAGTCTCATCTTTCTCCTGCAGAGCAGTTGGTGGGCTCAAACCATGAACCCTGTGGTTCACAGTCCAGTGCTTATCCTCCAGAGCCACTACACTCCTAATATGTGTGTTTCAGCATGCTTTATTATGTCCTCAATAATTATCATTGGTTAATTTTCTTTAATTCTAGGTTATAGATTAAGATGAAAGAAAAATTGTTTTGTTTTTTTTTTCTTGGCAAGTTTAAAAAATAGTCTTAAGTAGAGGTAAGCTTTGCCTTTAAATCTTTCAGGCACTTTAGACAGGGTAGAGTTATTTGATATACTGTTGGCTCATGAACTTATTTAAAATTATGTTTATTTGCAACTGACACATTCATGGATGACTATTAACGGGTCTACCAGTCATCTGTCAGTTTGTTGTACTGTGGTGGCTTGTGTGCTGTTATGATGCTGGAAGCTAGGCCATGGGTATGTGAAATCCCAGCACAGTCACCCATGGTAGACAGGTTTCAGCAGAGCTTCCAGACTAAGAAGTCTAGAAAGAAAGAAAGGCAGACTGCTTCTAAGTGTTTAGTCACTGAAAACCTTATGAATAGCACTAGAACGCTGTCAGGTGTAGGGCCAGGATTTGAAAACATTGTAAGTAGCATCAGACCACTATCAGATACAGTGCCGGAAGATGAGCCTCTCAGGGAGGAAGACACTCAGAATTCAACTGGGCGAGAGCCGTCTCCTCAAAGTACAGCTGACTATAAAGGAAATCAATGGCATAAAGAGAGCTTTTGAGATGGGACCTTCATTTGCTGGTAAGACACAATTCAAAATGACGAGAAACAGCTGCAAACATGCATTAATAATCAGAACATAGAATGTATGAAATGTGAATCTAGGAGACTTGGAAGCTGTCAAAAATGAAATCAAACACAAAAAAAAATAAATATCCTAGGCATTAGTAAGCTGAAATGGACTGGTATTAGTCATTTTGAATTAGGCAATCATATTGTTTTCTATGCCAGGAATGACAAATTGAAGAGGAATGGTATCACATTCACCATCAAAAGGAACATTTCAAGATCTATCCTGAAAGTACAATGCTGTCTGTGATAGGATACTATCCATATGCTGCAAAGAAGAACAGTTAATACCACTATTAATCAAATTTACACACCAATTACCACTAGAGCCAATGATGATGAAATTAAATTCTACCAACTTTTTCAGTCTGAAATTGATCAAACAAAAAGTATTAATGCAATCAATATGCATTAATAATTACTGCCTATTGGAATGCAAAAGCTGGAATCAAAGAGGAAGGATCAGTAACTGGAAAATATGGCTTTGGTGACAGAAATGATGCTGGAAATCGCATGACAGAATTTTGCAAGACCAATGACCTTTTCATTGCAGATAACTTTCTTCTAGAATATCCATGGGCCTCACCAGATGGAACACACAGGAATCAAACTGTTATATCTGTAGGAAGAGATGATGGAGGAGCTCAATATTATCAGTCAGGGGCAGACTATGGAACAGACCATCAATTGCTCATACGCAACTTCAGACTGAAGCTGAAGAAAATTAAAACAAGTCCATGAGAGCCAGAATATGACCTCGAATATATCACACCTGAATTAGAGATCATTTCAAGAATAGATCTGGTGCATTGGACACCAATGACTGAAGATAAGAAGAGTTGTGGGATGACATCAAGAACATCATAGAAGAAGAAAGCAAAAGGTCATTAAAAAAGATAGAAAAGAATCAATGTCAGAAGAGAGTCTGCAAATGGGAGAAATGAGAAAGTAAAAGAGATCAAG